GCATATCGACGCTTTGTCGAAAAAATTAAGCTCTGCCTGTCTTGCATTAAGATCTGTTTCTAAGGAGCTTAACTTGTCAGTTGCTAGACTGTTTATTATGCACTTTTTGAGTCTCACCTCAGATATGCCCTTCCATTCTGGGGTACGTGTTGTGCGACTCAATTTGACCGCATTTTCAAGCTCGAGAAGAGAGCTGTTCGATATTCACTGGGACTAAACAGCAGAATTCATTGCCAGGACTTTTTTAAAAAATTATATATATATTAGTTTTTTCGGTGGTAACGCTTGCGAATTGTGAGCTACTGCCTAACCAGGCTGCAAATGGCGCCTTGTGCCTCGTTTGCTTCCCTTTTTCTTTTTTCAGGATCACTAGTTCATCGTTGCTGATTCCTCCCGTATTGATGAAGCCGGAAGGCAGAAACACTGAGTGTCTACGGGTAGTCATGTTTTAGTCATGTCTCATGACTAATCTTACTGTAGGCTAGGCCAATAAATTCTTTCTTCTTTTTTATTATAGTACCCACGATAACATCTTCTGTTTATTGTTTCCTCTGGGCCAAGGTGATAGCGGCGAGGTGTTTTGGAACGCCTCCGCAGCGGTTCTTTTCGGCGGTAACGCTTGCGACTTGTGAGCTACTGCCTAACTAGGCTGCAAATGGCGCCTTGTGCCTCGTTTGCTTTCCTTTTTCTTTTTTCAGGATCACTAGTTCATCGTGGCTGATTCCTCCCGTATTGATGAAGCCGGAAGGCAGAAACACTGAATGTCTACGGGTAGTCATGTTTTAGTCATGTCTCATGTCTCTCTTCTTTGTTATAATTAAGTATATAATATATTATAACATAGTTTTCTAGTACATAATTTAGATATAGAAACACTTTTTCTTTCAATTTTGATATCTTAATCTCTGATGTCCGCAATAAAACTTTAAAGCAACATTGGATTTAGAACTAAACAATAAACATTTTATTACCTGCAATTTTGGTAGAATTCAAGAAAAACAAGATTAATCTGAAAGTATACTAAGCATTAAAATAATTACGAATGTGATTTATAAAAACGTTTTTACTAAGTAGATATTTACAATGTACAGGGGTTTATAAAATAAAGATTAATATCAAGTTGTAAATTTTACGACAAATTACGTAGAATAATGTTTTATATTCGATTCACACTTAAAAAGTTTTTTTTTCTTTTAAAATTAACTGTTAATAAATTTGCATTATTTTTTTTTATTAATTTTAATTTTAAAATATTTAATAAAAATTTTATAATTCATTATTAAATTTCTTACATTGCTGTTTCGTATATTATACATGTTTTGTGTCCTTTCTTTTGTGCCTTTTTTGTAGAAGTGTAAATAGATCTTTGAATTTCATGTTTTTGACGATGTTAATATATACCTAATATACCACAGATATTTGCCTGAGTAAAATAATACTTATAGTTATCTCTCTATTAAAATATTTTATACAGGGTGAGTCTTAAATAAGTGCAAATGTTTTCAGGGCTGGTAGATTTCGATAAAAGAAACATATATTTTCGCTTTAGCGAACCCAGTTATTTTACTTTGAAAATTTCCAAAAAAAAATTGCTTAAATTTTGTGAACCACTGGATCTTTTCTGTTTTTTTTCTTCTAAATTTAATCTACTACTTATGCCTTATTATCAAGACTTTATGTTATTTACTACTACTAAGGACTAAATAAATTTCCAAAAACTTTTTTAAAAAAAATCCAAATTTTTTAATTTCTTTTTTCGCGAAAAAATCTCATATATTTACGTGTTTCTGGGGTCAAAATATACTACCCCTAAAATATTTGAACTTATTTAAGACTTATCCTGTATAGATATACAGTTAAATAGTTTAAAATTAAAAAACTATATAAATATTGATTAATAAAAATATTGTTTAAATTGACAATTTATAAAAAAAATATCAGTGCAAAGAATTATTTAATATATTATTGAAATAAGCAATAAATTTAATGTAGAATAATATATTAATATAAATAAATATGTAATGTAGAATAATAAATTATCAGAACATTCCAGAAAGTCAATTTTCGGCTATTTATTTGTGAAATTATTTTGCTTTATACGTTTTGCCCGGTATTTTATATTAATATGTTGATTAAAATTACGTATTTTGTATAACTTTGTTTAAAACATATTATACTAAAAAACATATAGGTATTTTCAAATGGTATTGAATACACTTTTTGGCACTGCATTTCGCATTGCACACAATTTTTGGCATTGCATTATTTTTAATTCATTTATAACATGCATGAACAATACTTATAAGATTTTATTTTTTTTCAACAGCAAAATAAAATAAATTATTTTATTATACAGGGTGAGTCTTAAATAAGTGCAAATATTTTCAGGGCTGGTAGATCTCGATAAAAGAAACATATTTTCTCTTTTCCGTTTTTCAGATGTCAAGTCCAAAATAACCGAGTTATTTAAGTTTGAAAATTTAAAAAAAAATATTTTTTTTGAAAAAATTTTGAGAGCCACCGGATTTTTTCTGTATTTGCACATTACCCCCTCCACTCAAGGCCAATCAACATGATATGGGCAAGGCAAATATGGCGGCGTAGGCTGTTGTTTACCTTTAACCATCGTTCCGTTTGCATACCAGAAATAATTAATTATCTCTAGTTTGTTGTGCTTCTGCAACACGTTTGTTTAGTTCTTAGTGTTCAGCATGGTGTGATCAGAAAATTGTGATAAAATAAGAGTGTAATAAAAATCCAAACCAGACATTCCACATAGGGAACTTCAAATTTTTGCGCTTGTCGTACCTACTCCTGTATTATTAATTATTTTAAGGTAAGAACTAGAAGTATTTATCAAGATACTACACCTAAATTAGTAAAAAGCCTTCACCGCCAGTCTGCATAGTACTTTATAATGGTTACTTAAAATAATCAAAAGATAGGTATTAAAGGGTTAACATTTTATTGTAGCATGCTCTGTTCCAAATTGTCACGGGAATTATAGAGGGGCTCTCAAGGTTTCTGCTTTTATACTCCCCAAAAATGACGAGCTTCGTAAAAAATGGTTGACAGCTATTAAAAGAGATAATTTCACTCCTACTAGTAGTTCTCGGGTAAGAAGTGCATTAAATATGCCTCAAAAAGGCCATCAAACATCAAACTATTAAATCCATCTTGTTCAGAATATCTAATGTTATATTGAAGAACCATGCAAAAAAAGAATGACGTCTTTACCACAAAGACAATGCCCTATGTAAAGAGAAAGAGTAAATAAAACTAAGTTAAGCGTAAGTTTTACTTACGAACCCCCAAAAAGGTATTTAGTTTTTTTTTCTATATAAAATCTTGAAACACATATTATATTTTTTAGTTATCCTCACCTATTATAGTTTAAATTTATTCCCATATTTGTGTAATGCAGCAAAACAGAAAAACTATTCCATATTTTTTGATCCAAGCCAGTGTAGTTTATAATTCCAAGAGCATTTACCAAGGCTTTTACTAAAACAAGTAATTTCCTATACTGTCCATAATGGAATATATTTATCAAACGTTCAGAGTAAATTCTAAACTACGGTAGGTAAGTGTTTGCAACGGAATATTTAGTTTATATTGCTATTTTCTGTCATATATTTCTGGTTATTTCTTTTCCGAAGATTTTGAACACCCTATTATGCTACCTGAAGTTTGAATATTTTAACACTACCTATTTTCTGAGAAAGCAGACCTTTTTATAAAAAGTAACTAACTGATGTTTTCATAAAAGTAAAAATACAAAAAATTCCATACTTATGTGGAGAACTTTAGACTTAGTATATTAAAAAATTGGTGAAATATTACGTAATTTCTGTGACCCGACATTTGTGTGAAAAATGCTATTGGTTTAAAATACGCGCCAAATAAAGCACTTCTATCTCCGCCATATTGGAAACGGTTGAATGGCCTTGTGTGGAGGTGGTGGTGATTTGCATCCCTTTTAGTACCCTAACCATAGAGTAAAGCCTAGCCATAGAGTAAAATTATACCGGGGGAAAATTTGCGGTAAACAGGCAGTTCTAAAGTTTTCGAAAAATTTAAAAGAAGGTGCACGACACTTTTTCAGCTTTAAAATATGTCGCATTTATAGTAACTTTTACCCTTTATACTTTATATTAAGACTTTAACACCCTGTACCTACAAAACAAAGCAGAATCGGACCTATGTTGATATGAAAAATAAATCTCATTTTTACGTAAGGAATCTCCTTCCGAGAGATGGTACATGTTCTTTGAAATACCCTGTATATGGAATAGTTAAGAAAGATATTATTAATAAATGGAATTATTGGTGGAAACAAAATCAGTAATTATTCCTGATTATTTAGTGTTTATTAATAATAATGATCATTCACACAAAAGAGAGTTAACTGTAATAAACTTAAGATAAGCATCTAAAAAGATCCACTAAAATATAAAAAAAAACTTCGTTTCGAAAAATGTTTAAAGCAAAAATATTAAAAGCTACAAAATACATAAATATACATTTATTCGATTACATTACGGTGCTTATCCGTGCGCGAACGGCTCGATTCATCCCCGACATCGCTACAAGCCGCATCTGTACATTTCCCTCCCGCACACCCCCCACCCGGTGGCATCATCGAATACGAAAATTATTTTATTTGTCAAGTTGGGGTCGGCGGCAAAACGAATAAGGGCGCGAGCGAGACCGACGCGAGCAAAGACAGAGAGAGCGACAAGGAAAAAATCAATCGGGCGACATTCAGGCCGAATAACAATCGTACTTTAGGAACGTGTGCAAATCCCTACGTAAACCCCGATACCTTAGGGGTGAAATGGGCGGAACGACGGCTCGCTGGGGGCGTGCCCGCATCCCCTCCACCGGACCAGACCGCTTTGTTTTCGCACATCGTTGCCGGAAATGTGGTGGCTTGAACCATCATTGTTCTTGGCAAGATAATATTGGTATAACATTGCCAGAAAGCAGTCACCGACGACCCGATCTGCCGACTGGACCGTCATCGTGCCATCGCCGACTTATCGAAGTGGGTGTGTTACTAAACTACACCGCCTCATATCTCTTATCTCTGTATACCGATGTGCAGTGATTTAGAGATAACAGGGACTACGTTCTTATTAAAAAGGTACGACTGTTTTTCCAAGCGCTCATTCATCAACAGACGCCACGTTAGTACCGCGGCCGGTTAGTGTTCCGCGCTTATTGTGTTCGATTCAGTGACAATTTGTGACATTTTTGACTGAAATGCTAGCGATGGAAGAGGACTGTCGTCACCTGACGACGGAAGACATCAAGGAAGGAGACATGCTGGAACAACGCTACCCTATGCCGGATAGTCCGCTTGATCTCCGTGGCTCAGTAGAATCTCAAACATCCATCAAAACCGAGGATAATTACAGCGATAAATCCATGAAGAAATCCGGACAGATGATCAAACCACCTTACTCGTATATCGCTCTAATCACCATGGCAATACTGCAATCGCCTCAAAAGAAACTGACTTTGAGTGGAATTTGTGAGTTTATTATGACCAGATTCGGGTACTACAGAGAAAAATTCCCTGCCTGGCAAAACTCGATAAGACACAACCTCTCCTTGAACGATTGCTTCATCAAAATACCTCGAGAACCTGGAAATCCTGGTAAAGGTAACTACTGGACCTTAGATCCTTTAGCAGAAGACATGTTCGATAACGGTAGTTTTTTGAGGCGACGGAAACGATACAAGAGACCATCTCCGAACTTAATGATGAGAGACCACCATGCCTCCGCTATGGTGGCTCAGTTTCTGCAAAGTCAGGAGAATTACCACAACAGTTTGTTCAGTCATGCGAGTCTTCACAATCCTTACACGTACTTACCAGGTATTCCTACAAGTCTCTCTAACGGATTACCTCTTTTAAGTCCAATGGACCTGTCCAGATTCGGAATACCACCTTTGGGATTAATTGCACAACCAAACATTTGTAAACCCGTTCCAGTTCAACCAACTAGCGTTACTCCAGTGTCTGATACCGAGGACTATCTTCCGACGGAGATTCACAAGAAAGCGAAGAATGGATTTTCGATAGATTCAATCATCGGTAACGAAAGTAAAGCAGGAAATAAACCAGATATCTCGAGGAAAAGCAATTCTCAAAGTCCGGACATAGTGTTGCCTCGTTTACATAACCAAATGAGTGCGTTTTCTCCATTATCGTCCAACGACGATTGGACAAGGTGAAGTTTTCTCTTAGACTTAATGTGGAACCCGAAATGTTCGTTCGATGAATCTTTTATAATGTAAGACCAAAGATTTTTAATATAGACTGTAATGTGATTATTTTGTTGCAATATTTATTATGTATAACGTTGTAGACTTTTAGAGTAAGGCTAATGTTAGTTTTAGTGTCGATGTAGATAAATCTCATTAGAGGCTGTATATTGTATATTTTACATTTCCTTATACTGTGTATATAAATATAAAAAGTCATTACACCAACTTAGTTTAATAAGTTTTAGATGATTACTCTAATAATATATTTGTGTATATTTGAAAATAATAAAAGACCCAGTAATTTACTATCGTAGTTTATTTTTACATACAAAATACCTTATAATTTCTATTAAACAATGCAGATAAATGTACTAAAATTTGCTTAAGAACTTTATATATCTTAGAAAGAAAAATAAAATTATCTTCTCTTTACTTCTAATTTCCTCTTACAATAAATTTAAGACCTTTTAAAGAAAATTTCTAAAATGATAAGAGAGAACACAAAAATATAACAAAAAATTAATTTATTGTCTTGATAAAATATAATCTTGTATTTTCATTTATTTTTATCTAAATAATTTTGAATGTTGAAAATAAATGATAATAATATTCATTGATTCTGCATTGTGACATTTTTGACAAATGCTAGCGATGGAAGAGGACTGTCGTCACCTGGCGACGGAAGATATCAAGGAAGGAGACATGCTGGAACAACGCTACCCTATGCCGGACAGTTCGCTTGATCTCCGTGGCTCAGTAGAATCTCAAACATCCATCAAAACCGAGGATATTACAGCGACAAATCCATGAAGAAATCCGGACAGATGATTAAACCACCTTACTCATATCATACTTCAATCGCCTCAAAAGAAACTTACTTTGAGTGGAATTTGTGAGTTTATTATGACCAGATTCGGATACTACAGGGAAAAATTCCCCGCCTGGCAAAACTCGATAAGATACAACCTCTCCTTGAATAATTGTTTCATCAAGATACCTCGAGAACCTGGTAATCCTGGTAAAGGTAACTACTGGACCTTAGATCCTTTAGCGGAAGACATGTTCGATAACGGTAGTTTTTTGAGACGACGGAAACGATACAAGAGACTCTCTCCGAACTTAACGATGAGAGACCACCATGCCTCCGCTATGGTGGCCCAGTTTCTGCAAAGTCAGCAGAATTACTACAGAGAGCAGTTCGATATTTATTGGGACTGAACAGTAGAACTCACTGCCAGAATTTCTTTAAAAATTTCAAAATACTGACTCTTCCTTCTTTATTCATTTTTGAATCCGTTTGCTTAATCCGCAAGCACATATCTGCTATTCCCGAAAGGCCATCTCATAACTATCCAGTTAGGAATGCGGAGCACGATCTTTATCTGCCAACCCCGAGCTCAGAACTAGTTAAAGGTTCAATACTGTACAATGCCAAAAAATGTACAATCATCTGCCATTGAATTTCAAGTCGCTTTCATTCTTTCCCGCATTTCGCAAAGCTCTGAAATCATACTTACTGGAGAGAGCCCTATATGCGGTAAACGACTTTTTCGTTGATGTTTAATCATGAACAATTTTGAATTTTAAAATTTTGATCATCTCACACACTGGTCAAAGGTCATTAGGTATTTTCAAAGGTTCAAAGGTATTTAATATTTTATAACTCTTAAAATTATATCGATTTATTGCTTACTGTTCTGCAATGTATGTTTTTTTGTAATTTTAATGATTTAAATTTTTTTGAATTGTATGATTTGTATTGTGTATTTTTTGTTGTTTGTATATTTTTTTTTGTGCTTTTGTTTGTTTTGTGAGTGCTTTGTCGATGAAGCTGTTTTGACTTTTTGCACAATAAAGCGTTGTTTGTTGTTGGTGTTGTTCCTACAAACAATAGTAGGCAGAGTAAAGTAAACTGACTTAAAAAACTCAAGTACCTTTCACGAAATTTTCAAACTGATTCAGATGAAAAAATAAATGACATAGATACATCATTTCTCAGGAACCAGGTACCTATTAATAACATTTTAATATTAGAATGTAATCTGTAAACAAGCGATCAAAAATAAAGTTTGTTTGCAATACCTGTGTAACTTGTAAATTTTCCATTTAATAAATATTTTGAGATTTTATAATATTTTGTTATTTTTTATAAATTAAATCATAGGTATATATTGGTTTTGTTACATCTTTCGATATTATTAAAATACACTAAAAATGAATACTGTAAATTCATAAACTAATTATTTTATACACATAATTCTGGCATTTAGACCGCTGAACATTAAAAAATAACTTTTGTATACCCTTTATTTTGTTTTAGCTGACTTTTATTAATACTTTGCGCTTAAAAATTCTATTGTTACCTTTGATGTTTCCTTAAATGATACTTTAAGCTGTGCTTTAAGTATATTCTTGATTTTTTTACACATATTATACTCTCATATTTTTACACTCATGCCTCTCTGTATTAATAGACCGGCGGATTTGAAGGATTAAAAACAACGATGCTGTAAAGCCTTCCAGCAAATAAAAATTAACTGTTAGTCCATTCAAATAACATTTGTTTAGTTAGACCTACTTAGCATTGAAGAGAAATAACATTTACTCTGGAATTCTTGTTTTTTTATCACAAGACAAACGGTAGATACAGATACAGAGATTGTAGACGTGTATGACTTGGTTAGCTACAAAAAAATATTATTCTGCGTGTGTTCACATGCAGTTTAAAATGCAGCCTAGTCAGCTTATAATAAGTATAGTTTCACATGGAATAATGGCACTCCTAAGTAAAAATATTATTTGTTTCAACTTTATCTATAGTTTTTTTTCAATTTAATCCAGTTTTGTTCAACTGCACCTTATATACACTGTTAGTATTACTTTTATAAAAAAATCTTCTTATAAACGGTTGTTAAATTTTCGATGACGTAAAGGTGAATCAATATTGGATTAAAAAAGATTAAACATGGATTCATGGTAGATGTGTCTTTAGCTTTATGTTTAATGACAATGGCTTAAATTTATTATGACTAATTTTAAACTATAAAAGATATTTCAAATGACAGGCAATTAGATTCTTATGAGAGTATTAAACTAAATATACGAGTATGGAAACATAACAGAGATAATGTTTCCATTCTTTCTACAGTTTATAGTTCAGTCATTGGGGGTTTTTGCTTGGAAAAAAGTCCGGAAGTTTTGAAATTCTGTAGGTATATAGGTTTTGGGGTCCCTAATTAAAATCCATAAAATGCAGATTTCCAGACTTGCCGCCGCACAGTGGGATATTTGACACTGATAGTTGATCGAATTTTTTTTATGTAGACCTTATATAAATTATTGCTATTTTCAATTAAAGAGGAAATAATATGAACAAAATAAAGGATAATTCGTCGATTCTAAAAAAAGAAAGAAAAATCACTGTTCCAGTGTTTCCACGGTCAGTGCCAGTAGTAATATCGCAACTACTACTACTAATGCTACGACTGATCCGCGAGCAATGCCCATACCACTAAAGCCGCTACTAATGCCAAATTGTGCTATACTGCTAATGGCACTAATGCGATCGCTTTGTACACAACAATGCCATCGCGGTTTACACCTCGCATTAGTATATCACTGATTGGCAAATTGGAGGAAACCAAGAATGTTTTTCTCATTTTATCAGCAAAATCGCAAAAAGTCGCAGTATTTTATTTTACTGTATGAAAGCCCAATGTTTACTAAGTAAAACGTATATAGACAATATGCTGAATTCTTCGAAATGCGCAACTAAATCTCTAAGTATAATAAAAATGTCACAAATTTAATCAAATTTTCTGAACGCCTAACTTTTAGTTGCAAAAAAAAATCGTTAGTATAGAGAATATCAAAATAAATAATACGTTTTTGTAGAATACATACCTGCAGCTTGCTGAGCCATTTTCAATCAAAACAATAATATAAACGTAAAAAGAGCACAAGAACAACAACAATTTATAATTTTAAATATAAAATTTAGCCATTATATATATAACCTCTTATCTGTGAGAAGTAACAACTTTGACGTTTCGTTGAAACAAATGAATGCAACTAAACACGCCCATAGCAACGCCATTCATGGCAAAGATGATTTAACTTATCATTTATCTTTTTTTGGGAAATCTTAAACACATTTGCTTTTTCGAATTTCGATCATCTTTTTCATGCTAATACCCCACCGTTCGCCGCCGCCGCCATCTTGCCAAGATGGCGCCCAAAATCGGTATTTTGTAAATATCTCGAAAACTATGCGTTTTTCGCAAAAATTTGAAGAGGGCAATTAAAGAGAATAAAATTTCCTATAAAAGAGGCTCTATAAATTTTTTTGCTAAAGTCAACCGTTTAGGCACAAAATCCCTGGAAATTTTACAATTTTGCGTAAAGTATAATATATGTATGTATAGTCGATTTTCCGAAATCAAATGTCGATTAGGGTTCATTAAAACTAGTTTTAGTTTAGTTTCTTCAATTTTGTCATGAAACAGTGGCGTATCATTAATTCGCTCATTAATTTATGAATAATTAATTTTAATTATTGAAAATGTCTTGTTTGCTTACTTGTTTCCACACCACCCAAGATGTAAAGTACATGACGCTTTTATTTTAACGTGGTCTCCCCGGAGGCCTACTCCACTAGGTAAATAAAAACTTTAACTTATCTGTACAAGCCAGAGAGACCTGGCTAATTGATGTCAAAGTCGATCGTGTCTGCTGTGCTGGGCTCATCAGGGTGGTCTCTCAATTCGTCCAACTCATCATCTCCAGCCGCCAGAGGGATATCTACAGGCAAGTCCAACTCCTCTTCATCGGATTCGTCGAGTGAGACTTCAGTGACTTTGTCACAGAATTTCCCATTGCAGTATGCACAAATCATTAAACATTTTAATCCTGATTTTCTGTATCCGCTGGCTTTACCACAGTTGTTGGTTTTGCATTTACAGGATAAAAATGCTAATAGGAATTTTGGAGCTGGATCTGTCAACGTTGTGTCTGGAGTAATGCCTGTTTTTGTTTTCTTCCAACCCCATTCTTCGGCATCTTTGGTACAACCAGACCAATGCTGAACCTGGTAGGTAGTAAGTTCGCAATGAATGCTGTCCAACACGACAATTAATTATTCATAAATTAATGAGCGAATTAATGATACGCCATTGTTTTATGACAAAATTGAAGAAACTAAACTAAAACTAGTTTTAGTGAACCCTAATCGACATTTGATTTCGAAAAATCGACAACAAAAAAAATTTCCAGGCATTTTGTGCTTAAACGGTTGACTTTAGCTTTT